GTCTACAAACTTTTCAATATTATTGAGCTGCCCACCTTTAGAAACATGTAGACCAACTAATATCGAATATCTACTGCTTGCACAAAAACCGAATATTTTGTTCAACAGAGCGAATTATTTTTCATTGCAGAGATAACTCCTAACTACTCCCAACTTCATTTTATTCCTTTGATTTAATTAACTTCACTAAAGCAGTGCCATGATAGCATACATCATATTTGATACTATTATAATTATTATAGTTATTAACGTTTGTTTTGATTCATTTTCTTCTACAGGAGAATGATAAAGAAACCATTTTTTTCCTGTCTGTATAAACGATAGATATTACGAGTACGAGACCATGATATATCGTAATTAGTTTGAAACAATAGGGGGGACGTGAACTCCGACACGTCTATGAATGGGAGAACGAATTCAAAATTAGTCACGGCGATTAGAAATATTGACATCGGATAGGTTGAACCACAACATATGGCCGACAAATTTTATTAACTGTGCACGTGCTCTGGAATTACATCTAGTCTGGAAGAAATATACAGGAAGTATCTGATAAAACCAACGAGCTGTCAAGAACATTCCATTTTCATAAAATAGTATATTATGGTGAAAGCCATTTATACGTCTCTTTATTCAAAAAATATGTTTATTTGGGACGTGAGGACAGAGGAGTAAGTATAGTGAGTGAATAATAAGATGCCAGTGTCTGAAAAACCACTGGGATGTTAGAACTACTTCATCAAGAATTTTTGTTTTATAATTATACTTATACAAAGTTCCTACTTCTTATCAACGATCTATTGAGAGCAACCACTTGCCCTATCCACAGCTTTGCAGATAGTACTCTCCATACTGTGTTCTCTTCTAGAATTGCCATTTCTTCCCAGGAAACTGAGAACTTGCCACGAAGGCAATGAAGATCTTGCGGAAATAACAGCCGGGGACCAACCACCTGGTTGAATTCAACGCCACCAAAACGCAAGCCTTTATTTTTTCTAGAAAGGCGGAACTCACTATGGCTATTACAACAATGTCTGAAACCACCATTCCCACCAAGACCACTATATCTACCATCATCAATACTCTCTCATGGGAAAATCATGTTCGATCCATCGTAAAAGCTGCTTCACATAAACTGTCTCTTGTTTCCTTCAAAAATCTTCTTTATACCACACCAGCTTCCCCTCATCAACAAAGCACTATATAAAGCGCAGATACGGCCAGTTTTAGAATACTGATCTCATGTATAGGGTTCAGCAAACATAAGCTGATCGATGCTCTTAGATTCCATCCAGAGAAGAGCCATTCGCCTGGTGGGTGATGCCACACTCACCAATTCTTTGATCCCATTAGAACACCTTAGAAAAGTCGGCGGCATGCTTTTACCATTTTACGCGCCTCTATGACATTGTTTCGTGAAAAGAAAGTAGCTGATTTTTTTTATAGCCACCATGATTTGAAAATGGAAAATGTGAGAAGTAAAAATATTGTCAAATTGATTTCACTCGGAAAATGATACATCTGATCGATATGAAATAAGAGCACTTTTTTTCTGTAAAGAGGTGGGTATTTTCATAATCGGAGATTGAATTGTCGAAAAATATGCCTACAAAAAAGTTTGAACAATATTTAATATAGTCCCACGCTGATAGTATGTTGTACCTACATGATAATATGAACACCTCGAGTCAAAAGCATTCAAACAAATCAGTCGGTTTGTATGGAATTGCAGCACCGAATTGAGCAATTATTGCAATATATGTTACCATAAGAACGTGGAAAACCGACCTTCTTTCAGAATCTGCATTTTTCATATGATCGCACTGATACTGATCACAGATATTTGAAGCTGTGTTTAAAGCGACCACAGCCGCTTTCAGAAGGGGGGGCAAGAGATGGGGAGACCTATATAGTGGGCGTCCTTAACACCATCTAAACGAAAAGCAATGGCAAATCAGCGGCGTAGAAAACACAAAAATAGGTGAAGATTTATACTTCTCAATAATTTTTTGTTGAAGTCATTGATAGTTTTTTGTCTCCTAAGTTATTTTTGGAGTTGTATCTGAAATCTCAAACATTGGGAATATTTAAAATTTGAGAGCAAAATGTCACGTACTTTTTCCCCCGGATATATATCAGATATTTGAAGGATTTTGTGCTATATAATAACAATAACACCGTCTCCGAGAAAGAACTGCAAGTCCTTTTATCTACTATAAACAACCACTGAATACGCAATTTTTGAAAATCAAATCATAGACTTAGACTGATAAATATTTCATTGCTTCGAAAGAATGAAATGACAGACAACTCAGCAGGTGTCATTCCTGTTTAAAAATAGTTTTATGAGTAATAATATATATCTTGTCAATAGTGATTCGTCCTTTTTCCTGTCACAGAAGAAAATAGTGTATTATGCACGGGAAAAATATTTGATTTTAGCTCGTTTTTTTGTCTTCTTCCGCTACGCGTCGGGAGACAACACGGCCTGGATCTAAAATGTAGAACTTTTTTCCTTGTATAATAAATAACTATTCTTTCCTCTGTGTAATAGTTTATTTCCAGTATCAGTACCATGGAGTAGTTTTTAGAACTCTGAATGTGATTTGTCTATGTAGGAATCACTTTATTTTATGTCTTCTGAAATGGCCATCACATTGTATAGAGTGAACCTTGTAAATGTAATTATTCAGTTTGGACTAGTTTGTGCACCACTGATTAAACAAGAACCACTCACACTCACACAAACACATACGTAATAATGCAATATCTTTCTCGCGACCGTGTCCATTTGTCTTTGGCTATATTTGGCGAAGACAACGTGCAAACTGTGGAATATTATGTCGTATCATAAATGAATGCGATTCTACGTTTTGAATTTTTGAACCCACTTCATGTCCTTCATGATATATTATAGTTTCTCTTCCAACGGCCTGATCGAAATCTCATCGTTCTCTTATTCCATTTAACTTACTTTTTGTTTGTCTTGGTGTTGAAGTCCTTAAATTTATTTCTTTGAATTGTAGGTGCCTCTGTTTGTCAAACAGACTGTCTAGGAGTACTTGAAGTATTTTTTTTTTCGCAAAAAGACGGTGCCCATAAAATGATTTTGTTGGGAAAATAGACGTAAGCGTTGATGATGATATAGAAGAATGTGGTACCGCTAAACAAGGCTGGGCTGAAAGGTTGGTTTCTTTTCTTTCATAGGAAATCGACGATTTCGAAATGGCAAAGCATTACAACTTCCATATAAAAATATCGACTTTCAAATATGGATTTCTACACAGGGTCCATAGACGTTTGAAGAATATTTTTCAATTCAGTTGAATGAAAATATCAAATGAATTGGAGTATTTATTCAATGATATACCCAAAATTCGAAATAATAATTGAAACTTTTGATTATGTTTTCATTATTGAATAAAAATAAATATGCAATCTGTGATGACCGCGAATCTATATTCAGTATTTGTTTATTCAAGGAACGTAAACTAAATCCCTGGAACTTGATCCTACCACACCAAATACGTTAGCAATAATAGTCAGTTTCGATGAGATTCCTGTGAGCTTTATCATCTATCTTAAAATTGTGAAGAATATGTAAGTAAATGAAATGTATCATTTTTTTGCATTTGTGAATTATTTAAGTAGTTGATCGAGATCTCGTTATACATAATAATTCTGTTGAGAGATTGACGAGGAGATTGAGAAGTAGATTTCTGGTATTAGCGTGGATATTTTTAGGCCACTTTGATTCGTCATATGCCTTAATTAAATTGGAGGACGTCATTCGCGGTTGTCTTCTGAAAAATTGTGAGCTGCAATCAGTTAGGTTATGTCCCAAAAGGAATTATTGATGAGAAAATATAGTAGGGTTACTGTATTCCCTTTTATTTTATAATATAAACGACTACATATATTATTTTAGTCAAATTTCATAGTGTTGTAGGTGTTTTTCTTATATTCAAATTTCGGCAACTTGCCAGTTTCAAAATAATCGGTGATGACATAATTCACTATTCATCAGTTATTGTTCAAACGACAATATAAAATAACATTCCATTGATATAACAATTTCAAAGTCAAATCAAGGTTTGACATAAGTCCTTTGAGAATACAAAGTAGAACCAATATTATTATTATTGTTGTTACTAGCCACTGTTTACAATTAATCATTCTCCGCAATATGTATTCTGAAATTATTCTTCAATATGTATTGTATTTTTGTACACCTATACCTTTTTGCTCTGTGACTGAATGAAATGAGTGTTTATAATGATAAATGATCCAGCTGTGCATTCTTGTTGTTATTCGAATTATACAGCTTTCAAACATATCGTCGGTTTAGTCTGGATAATAAAAGCCTAATTTACATGCATTGAATTCAAGGTGAATATTTCATTATTGTGTAAAGGCAGTCAAGTGGGATGAATGTTTTATGCTGTGCTTTATGTCATTTTTAAAACCGTCTCGATTTTTTGAGAGATATCATCCTTTCATCAATAAATCTTATTGTGAAAAGTTCATGTTTGAGATAAATTGCATAGTTCACAAATTAGAAAATTAAACAATTTTCATACTTGATGTTATATGGATTTCAATTTCTGGAAAAGTACCGTCTGGATCATTGTAATATATAAAGTAATTAAATAGTTGAAAAGGTCGTTTGATGAGCTGAAAAATCACACTTTACATTGGAAAATTCACCGAAACGAATTCCTCAATCACGAATTATTTGTTGTATATAATTCAATATTCGTATAGCTTTTATATAGTTATGACTGATGGTTCTACATCAACAAGAATATTTATTCAAACTTTTATGTTTATAATAACAAAATCCGTCGTGTTAATATTTTTATATTGCCAGAAATTCAAAATAACGGCATCAATTCATTAACCCCATTATTAAATTATTTGTGGTACGATTCCATGGAATCGTTTTTACCAACCAGGCGAAATCGATAGGTACCTATATGGCCGCGTATAAAATTCCTCACCGAAATCCGCGGAATCAGCAAAACCAGCCTGCCACCTAGGTATCCCGCATTACACGAACAAACAGTTGAAACTCGCGCACTGCACACTGGAATCACAGAATCTCTTCGTAGGCAACGAGAAGCTGCGGCTTAATCGAAGATCGAGTCGGCTGCGCTCGGACGGCGTTCAAATTCAAATGTTCGAATGTGGGACTGAGCGAAGGAGGCGCGCGCAGAAACAAGAGACGATAGCCGCCGCCTGGTCCGCCTGATTCCGTGCCGATCGAACGGACGCAAAGATTCGCTCGTATGTCTTTGGCTATCAGAAATTCCTGCAGCCACCCACGATTGGCCGTTCTGAGAAAGAACGAGTCGAGATAGAAGCGGAGGTGAACCCACTCGTCTCACCTGCGCTATACGTGACAATTAATACTCGTTTTGGCGTTTGGCATGCCTAATTTGTTGTTAAAAGCGCCTACGCGATTCCGCAAACCCAGCACCAGCTGCGCTCAGCATCGTTGGCCACATTCCCGGGTGTAAATTCACACAGGGTGTGCTAGAATTATATGGACTAAAGGGAATCTCGGTGGTTTTTTGACATGTCACCTACTGAATCTCTCTTTTTCTCATTCGATTTGTTATATACCTGACATCTACATTGTTTTTTCAGAATCACTAGAAACAAAATGTGCCTCCTGGATGGAAGATTATTTTCCAATTAGATGGCCTGAACGATTTTCCATTTGGCGTTTTCAGATTTCTTATGTCGGAATTCAGTTCACTGAAAACGTATCCAATCTCAAGGTATTTATGAAAATGTCGCATACAACTCTATGCACGAGATTAGGACATACAGTGCTTTTCTTTAATGACCCCCCCCCCTTTTTATTGTTTGAACGGGTCGACTGAAAAAATTTAAACCTGGAGTAATGAAATTGATGCGAGAATATATTTTGGAGTGAAATTGATAGATGAAAATTCAAAGATGGTGACTGGCTGGGAAGCTACTGACGAATACTTCACAACCCTAGGATATGAAGTCAATATCTTCACCTGCTACAAAATGACGGAATATTTAATAATTGCCTGAATACATCGACATTTACTTCATAGTTTGAGGAAATAAGCTGAGTTCAGTTCTGAAGATGGTCCGATATTTTACGCTGAAAAATTTCGAACACAGTTACGTCGATAGTCCTGCGAATGTTTCTCATTCTCTGTCGTATATCTAATATTGAGGCAGCTGCAGTTCCGTACACATTTTGCTTCAAATAGCCCCATAAAAACACGTCTAAAAGTGTCAAATCTGGAGAGCGGGCTGGCCATTCCGTAGGACCTCGACGACCAATCCAACGACCAGAAAAAGTATTATCCAAATGTTTCTTACTTGTCTGTAATAAATTGGTGGTGCTTCATCTTGTTGGAATACAATATCCATATTGATGTGTTTGTATTCAGGCAACTATTAAATGTTTCGCCATTTTGTGTTAGTTGAAGATTTTGACTTAACATTCTACGGTTGTGGAAAATTCGTCAGGAGCTTCAAAAAATGTGTCACAAGACCTTTCTGTCCAGACCAGATGGCACCCAGTCGTCATCTTGAAATTTTCATCTGCCAATTCCACTCCAAAATAAAGAATTCATGCATCAATTTTATTACCCCAAGTTTCAATGTTTAAAGGGAACCCTGATGTGTTGTAAGGGAAGGAAAGAATAAAGTAAAAGATGAAATTCCTATATTATATTAATAATCAATAAATTGTATAATAGATTTGGCAAAATATAACAAATAATGTGAATAATTACAAAACTAATTACAAACAATCTAATTAAGTACCAACAACCTATCTATCATCTGCATCTATCATAAAAACACATTAAAGTTGACGAACGTACTGGGAGCTTCAGTACTTATATAGATCGGATATGCCAATTTTGTTGTCATCATCATCATGCAGTTGCAGGTACTCTGACTAAAGCATGTTATTTGAAATTATGATAATTAGCATGTTTTTCAATTTCACTGCTGTTTTAACACATTTATAACCACTAACTATTACAGTTGAAATAATACTATTCGCGATAGAAAATAGCACGTCACTCCACCTGACGCCAATAACTTGAACACTTCTGAGCGGTTTGTTCTGATGGATGTAACCAATAATCATGACCAAATACCGAAGGTAAACAGAGTAGACGGGCTGCTTATATCTTTCATAAATCCCGCTAGGTGGCGTTATGCTTATTTTCTATCTCGAATAGGTGTATGTAGCTTTACAAGAATTTGTACTGGTGATTTTCGTAAGATATGATCTATTGGTACCAAAATCATAGCTTGGTGAATGCTATTTTCAATATGTTTTTTCTGTGACGTGAAAAAAGTTTGAAATTTCATCTCTGTTGACAGGTTGTAAAATGTCACTTTTCATAAATTACTTTTCTCCCACGGAAAAAAACACTGAGATCTTTTTTCCGGGATATATATCACATACACTGTTGATGGCTTTTGTTGTGCTATAGTTCTGAAAAATAAGCCAATAACAGCGTTTCCGGAAAAGAATTGCAAGTCCTTTTATCTTCCATTCGACTTGGCGGTTCCGTAAATTGCTGAACAACCAGTAAATTCGCATTTTTTTTTTAAATCGAATCACAGAATTTGACTAACAGATATTTGATTACTTCAGAAGAATGATAACGATGCGTGCAAAAAGATGCCTGCTACGCAGGTATCATTCGTGTTTTAAACTTCAAATTTCACGTTGATAATTTTCTGATTTTAATATAATGTAATATCTTCTCAATGTTGATTCGTTCTGTTTCCTGTCACAGAAAAAAATAGTGTGGAAAAATATTAGATTTAAGGTCACGGATTTTTGTCCCTCAGCTACACGTCGGGAGACAACACAACCTGGAGCTGAAATCTACTTTTTTTTTCTTGTAACTATTTATATTTTTCTGCATGTTTTGTATCATGTAATCTCATCTTGATCATAAAACTTTATGAAAGTTCATTAATATTCCTGAATTCCGGTCAATCAAAAGGTATCTTCAAAATATGCTACAGGCCTACAGGCAACATCTATATCTTGAGTATGTTCTCAAGTAACGAATTAGGTAGGAATCGGGAAAATAGACGACAGCTTCAGTATCAAAGAATCATGGAATAGTGTCTTGAATCGAAGATCTTGGCTGTATTCAGAGAAAGGTCTTGTTGATTGACTTGACGTTGATTATCACTTGGTGTTGAAACTTTATTCATTCCTTTGAGTAGACCAAGTGGTAAATGAATTTTTTTGCCATTATTGAAGTCCTGTGTTGTTCAAACATTCAAATCGCTCGATTTGGCTTTGCCCATTGGTCGAACCATCAGCGATTTGGATCTTGGCATGCTGGTCAAACTTTGTGTCTGCAACAGATTTGTTTAATTGGTTCAAATTTTCAAATGTTTTTGTTTCGAAAATTCACATTCTATAAACAAGACTCATTAGTAGGTTTCCTAAAGTCACAAAATTGCTTAGAATACACTGACGACTGTAATATTTGTACAGGGTGTCTCTATAATCGGACCCCTACCTACAGCTTCAACTATACGAGGTGGAAAAATAGCTTCAAATATGATATTTGTATGATTTTATCTGTACAATTTTTGGCACTCCTTCAATAAGTGAGGGTTACTTAGCTGTGTGCACGTGTATACAGTGCGTTCATAAAGTGTGGAAACGCTCCATTATCTTACGATATAATTATTTTCAGAGGTAAAGCTCGGACAGGTCGATTTTGTATTTCAGTCTTCCATCTTTTTTTACAAAAAAATAATTTTTTCCCCCACCACCTTACAAGATATGACGTCATCGATATTTTTTTTTTAAATTGAAAGGGTATATTTTTATATCAAAAATTGCAAGCCCATATTTTTCTGAGTTCAACCATACCACATACGTCATATCTTAAAATGAAGTAGATTTGTTATTTGTTTATTTTCACTACATTTGAAGTGTAAGATATGACGTATGTGGTATGGTTGAACTCAGAAAAATATGGGCTTTCAATTTTTGATATAAAAATATACCCTTTCAATTTAAAAAAATATCGATGACGTCATATCTTGTAAAGTGGTGGGGGAAAAAATTATTTTTTTGTAAAAAAAGATGGAAGACTGAAATACAAAATCGACCTGTCCGAGCTTTACCTCTGAAAATAATTATATCGTAAGATAATGGAGCGTTTCCACACTTTATGAACGCACTGTATATACCAATGAAGAGAAGTGTTGTATTTCGTGCAAGATAATTTATTCAAATTTATTACTCGTAGCAGAGCGCTTTCGACTGATAAGTCATCATCAGTGCATACTCGTTCAAGTTAACTCCAACACCACATGTCGCTGCGACAATGGCTGCTTAAGAAGTTGCCAATAACATTTTGATGGCTGTGGACACAACAGAAATGCCATGGAAACAAAACAGGCCACTTTTGAGATCTCTTGTCATTTTTGATAAACATATGGGTTATTCCTTAGAGGAAAAATACGAGATAGTTAGATTAGATTATGAAAATATTGCAAAAAAATCAGCAGTGCAGCAAGATTTTATTCGAAAACGGCCTAAGAACAGAAGAAAAAGGTCTTTTCAACAAAAGTTGAAACTATAAAAGGTGTTCCATTTGAAAAAAAAATTGATTTGGACTCTCTTTCTATTTTGCGATTGGCATTCGTTTCATTTTTGAAGTTTTTTTCCACCTCGTATAGCTGAAGCCGTAGATAGGCGTCAAAATATAAGGAAACACCCTGTTCTTCGAATTTTTCATTCTTATAAAGGCCCCTATAAAGTAGCATTTTTTCATTACAATTTCGAGTTCCAAGTTTATTGGTAGATGGTGGATGAGAATTGGTGATGAAAAATTGGTGTTTTTTTTTGTGTTGTGGGATCAAAAATGAAAATACATAATATTCAACACAGAGTCAGTACAACATTATTTTGCTCAATTATATCAACATCAAATTCAGTTGTTTATTTTTCTATGCCACAATTCCAAGAAATTTTGCGAAACTCGTAAAGTATAATAGGAATGTAATTACATTGGAAGTGATACATGCATGTTATTTATAAAGTTGAAGTAAATAGTGTGCAAAATAGCATTTATAAACATCGGGTTTTTATTTTTTGTCACTAATACATTTCTCATTCTCATCTGAATGATGATGTGGATACATATAAGGTACCTTCCCCAACACTATTTACTCCAACGGTAATACAAATTTAAAAAATGCTAAAAACGGGTGTTAGGAATAAATAGAATAGTGAAAAATGTAAAAATTACCGATGGATTAGGTCGACAAAAGCCATTCCGCCTCGCTCAAACCTTAACGACAACGTGGTAGGTGTTGACGTACTCGCCCCTATTAAAGAAATAGATAGTTACCTCCAAGTTCCTTGGAGTTTTGTACTCGGAGGCGTTTCGCTTCATCAGGCCGTGCCTGTACGGATTGAACCTGTCTTTGCTCTTCATCGAAGACAGCAGCATCGTTTCGGCTTCGAGCAATTTTGCTTTTTTGATGCGCCGCTGCCAGAAGATCTTCCAGAACGTGCTGCGAAACTTTCTCGACAGCAGGCAGTAGATCAGGAAGTTGCAGGGAGCGTTCAACATCAGGAGTAGATTGAAAAAATTGCCCAAAACTGAAACGAATATATATTTTTTTATCCTGGTTCACATTTTGCAGCATTTTGTATCCTTCAATATTCACTACAAGTCTTGATTATTAGTATTAACAAGATGATCCACTTCCATGTAATATGCTGAAGCCAAATCTGGCCTTAGCTTTCGACTGGTTGGTAGGCGGCGCTATTGCCAATTTGTTTATTCTCTACGAATTTACTCGAGTCCATCTATCTGCAAGTTGTTGTTGTTGTTGTTCTTTATTACCCCAAGAAACATATTTGTTTATAATAGGAATACATAAACATATGATATATACAGGGTGATTCAAAAGTAAGCGGCATCCTTTCAGAGGCGTATTCCTTGCATGAAAATAAGGCAAAAAGTTCCTATTGATAAGGATCCGAAAATGCTTCCTAAGGGAGCTACGGCCCTTTGAATAGGACACCTCAAAGACGGTTTTTTCTCTATAACTTTAAAATCCTTCACAACAAATTTTTAAAAATTGGTGTACGGCATAAACATTCGATGGTAAATAGGACTCCGTATTCGAAATAATTTCCAAACGAAATCACAGTAACCTGAATATCCGGAGAAGAAGGGATATTTTTACACTTACCCTCTCCCGCATGTGACGCCCCTGAATGAAATTCTGAAATTTCGAATGTTTATGCCGTACACCAATTTTTAAAAATTTGTTGTGAAGGATTTTAAAGTTATAGAGAAAAAACCGTCTTTGAGGTGTCCTATTCAAAGGGCCGTAGCTCCCTTAGGAAGCATTTTCGGATCCTTATCAATAGGAACTTTTTGCCTTATTTTCAAGCAAGGAATACGCCTCTGAAAGGATGCCGCTTACTTTTGAATCACCCTGTATATATATATAAAACAATAAAAAAAAAAAACTAATTAACAAGTTATGTCAATATAACATAATAATTAAAATAAAACCATTCCAAGTATTCAAATGAGAATAAATTGCTCCGTTTATTGTGTCATGAGTATATATTTTTTCATATTGACTTTGAATCTTGTTTCATCATCAATATGTTTCAAATCATAAGGTAATGAATTATATAAAATGATTCCGTTGTAGAATACTGATTGTTTGCCAATGATGGAGTTATATGGGTTTGCTATTAATGAATTCAACTGTCTCGTTGCATGAGTATGAATTGTATTTACTTCAGTAAAGTTCAAGTTGGATATTTTTATTTTTTTTCTCACAAAATGGATGAAAGAACAAATTTTCATTTTATATAAAGATGATAAATTCAACAGATTTTTTGGTTTGTAAAGATTAATAGTTGGTTCCAGGTAATGTAAATTGTAAATGCACTTAATTGTTTTATTTTGTAATTTCATTAATGGTTTCAAATGTGATATACTTGTGCTTCCCCAAATTGATATTAAATATTGTAATTTTGAGTAAATCAGACAGAAATATATATTCTTCAAATATCTAAGAGGAATGAAATTTCGAATTTTGTATAAAATGCCAGTAATTGGATTGAGCTTTTTTCTCAGGTGATCTATATGTTTAGTCCACGATAATTGTTCATCAATATAAAGACCTAAGAATTTTGTAATATCTAAATATTTTATGGCTTTCTGGTTGAAAAATATTGTTGTTTTCGACATATCAGTTTTTCTTTTTGAAATATACATATACGTAGATTTGTCATAGTTAAGGGTCAGCTTATGAATTTGTAGCCAAGATGATATCATTTTCAAGTCACTTTTTATATCATCAACTATATCGTTAAATTCTTTAGAGGAATAGATTATTGTAGTATCATCTGCAAATAACTTCAGATCTCCTTTTAGTTTCAAAGATGATATTGAATTGATGTAAATTAAGAATAAAATTGGACCTAAAACGGAACCTTGTAGGAATATCCTTATTTATGAAGCAGGAAAATCACGAACATTGATACTCTGAAGGATTTTAAATAAAAATATTTCATTCCTGCCCTGCTGCGGCTGATGCGAATATATTCTGCATTACCGATCTCTACCCTTTGCTACTAAACGAAAAGTAGTTCACCTTGTCGCTCGTAGATACCGCCACTTACTTAGTATAATTTATGGCTTCATTGTTTCCATAAGGATGATTCATCTTGTTTGTATAAATAATTAAGGCTACAAGTGACTCTAAACAAACTTAGCATCAAGCAATAATAAAACGTGTACTGGTAAATAAGTATACCTACTTTTTGTTACATTTTCGTCCACCTTATTCTTGGGCTTATGGAAATGACTATAAATCAGGTATGATGCAGTTGGAGCGTTACATATGATGAATATGAAAACGATGCCAATCAGCATGGTAGTTATTCTTCTTTCGTTAGCAAATGATACGTTGTCCTGAAGAAAAGAAAATTGAAAGCCTAAAACAAGAATTGAGTGCAAGGTGTTCATAAAATAAGTGATGTGCATATATAGAGTGTCACAATAAGATCGAAATGAATAAATGATTTGATTTTCATCTAACCTGCGAATTTGTCATGACCCTCCGTATCTTCTGCGAGAGGTACACGGCCCTCACCAAGAAACAATTGAAGGTTGCGATCAGAGCCAATGGTATCATGCCGAAGAACAGTGCGCTATACCAGTAAATGAAATCGGTGTAGACCTTGCTTTTTCCCAAATCGGTCGATTCGACGAAGATCGTGAGATTCTGTACACAGCAAGTCACGTTTTCTAACGAAGTTTCGTTGCGATCGCTCGACAAATCTTCAGACATGTTCACGTCCGTTACCGCTCGTTTCGACGTGTGATTATCGAAGGTGGCGTTCAGACCTACAAAGGAGGAAAATCAATATTCAGTGATCAGTATTGATAAAACTCAAAAAATCAAATTTTCAAACCAATATCAATTCTTCACCTTGCTATTCTCACAGAAAAATAGGTTAATATTACAGAAAAAGAATTATTGTATACACATTGACTTATTTACCTTGGGAAGGAAGCTATTTAGAAAAAATCTACCTTTTTGAAAATATATCGAAGAATTAAATTTACAAAACAGTCAATTTTTCACCTTGATTTCCCACACAAAAATAAAAAGAATGACTGTAACACATTGACTTACATATCTCGGGTGAGAAGCAAATCGGAAAAACTATTGAAAAAACCTCAAAAAATCAAATTTAAAAATCAATCAATATTCGTGATTATTTCGAATAATGAATAACTATCGAATTACTATTAACACCTGGCATGCTAGAAAAAATTGATATATAGCGTGAATTAGATAGTGTGTACAACACCATTCACCTGGAGGCGGTCTGCTCTGTCGTAGAAAATACAAGGGAAACAGTATCACGGTGCAGTTGCTACCCACACCGGCCTCTTCCACAGCCGCCTTCGCGACGCTCCTCGGAATGTTGTACTCGTCCAGAAAGTACGACTCGTTTCGCGCCTCCGACGTAGAGGGACACCTTTCGAGGCACTCTTCGCGGAACGTCAGCTGGTACTCGAAGGCCGTCGAGACGGTGGTCAGCAGACAGAAGACGTACACGACCACGATGACGCTCTTGGCGCGGCGCTCCGTGCAGAACTGCTTGCCCTTCATGGGGTGGCAGACGGCCACGTAGCGCTCCACGGTGAATGAGACTGCCAGCCAGGCTGACGTGGCGCCTGTGGACACAATTTTCAGATTTATAGACATCGGATTAGGATCATCACGCCTGTGGACACAATTTTCAGATTTATAGAAATTCTATTATGACTTTATCATTGTACTGAATATCAACAGAAATAATGGTCACGTAGCCCCCTACGGTGAAGGAGACTGCCATTTAGGCTGACGTGGCGCCTGTGGACACAATTTTTAGATTTATAGCAGACGGCCACGTAGCGCTCCACGGTGAATGAGACTGCCAGCCAGGCTGACGTGGCGCCTGTGGACACAATTTTCAGATTTATAGACATCGGATTAGGATCATCACGCCTGTGGACACAATTTTCAGATTTATAGAAATTCTATTATGACTTTATCATTGTACTGAATATCAACAGAAATAATGGTCACGTAGCCCCCTACGGTGAAGGAGACTGCCATTTAGGCTGACGTGGCGCCTGTGGACACAATTTTTAGATTTATAGACATCGCATTATGACTATCACGCCTGTGGACACAATTTTTAGGTTCATAGAAATCGGATTTTGACTATCACTGTACTGAATATCATCAGAAGTTAGGGTCACGAAACGCTCCACGGGGAAGGAGACTGTCAGCCAGGCTCACGTGGCTTCTATGGACACAATTTTTCGATTTATAGAAATCGGATCATGACTTTATCATTGTACTGAATATCAACAGAAATTACGGTCACGTAGCCCTCCACGGTGAAGGGAGACTGCCAGCCAGGCTGACGTGGCGCCTGTGGACACAATTTTTAGATTTATAGAAATCTGATCATGACTATTATATCATTGTACTGAATATCGTCACAAATTACGGTCACGTAGCGGTCCACTGTGAAGGAGACTGCCAGCCAGGCTGACGTGGCACCTGTGAAATTTTTTGATTGATCAAAATCAGATTCTAACTTCGTTATGATTGTACTGAATATCATCAAAGATGGCTGTCACGTCATTCGTGTTTGACTCAAATTCATAGGAAACTTACTCGCAGCGTCACATAGCCAGTGGGTGAGTCCGTAGAACCTCCAGTACAGTTCGTACTTTTTGTCGTGAATGTTGTTGTAATGTTCGAAGGACAGCAAAAAACCAAAGATGAGTTGGATTATGTCGGCCACAGCCAATGCCGACAAATAGGTGTTGGTCGAACTCCTCATTCTTCTCCTAAAAACAGCATTAACAAGTATTTGATAGAGCCAAGTCGACTCAAATGGTCAATGAAAGTATGCTGAATTAACTTTTTTCCTGATGTTCAGTGAATAAGTTTGTGATAGCCAGTATTTAAATCACTAATCTCTTCAATCTCCTTATTCTCAAAACAAATAAGTATTCGATCTCAAATTCGAATCTCTGAACCACTGAAAATCTTGCCAAAATAGATATAATGAGCATGAATCACAACAAAAATATAAACAAACGAATTTGAAATGAGATTTCTTTATGAATGATTGCACAACACGTGGAATCGTACCTAGTGAGGTGAAAGAACATTATTTATTGTACCATAATACTAATAATTAAATACCTATACTGTGTTTATTTTTAAGTTATCTAACCTACCTACACATTCTACTAAAAGCTCATAAATTTGTGAAAGTACCTGAAACAACATAGTAATGCCATTATCAAAAATAAACTTGGCTCGTTGTAGCACCAGAAAAATAATCGCTATAGTCGAATGCTATGGATTCAGCAAATTCGGATAAGTGCCGTATTCAGGCCAAACGGAAAAGCAGAATCATTCATTTTAGAACCTTTTAGTACTTTTACCTAATAGATAGGTAGGTATACTAATTTCATATCGCTGAGAATACCTACTCAAATTTTTTTCCTGTTTAACATACCTTGTTAACACCATGACAGTGACAATGCTTCCTGCTACTCCCAAACATAGTAGGATCGGTATCAAAACTTTTTGAACGTAAAACCGTGAATTATCCAAAATTGCCTGCGAGGTCATTTCAGCTTCATCCATATCTGAAATAAAGTAATACCATTTTATCTTGATTTATATTATTAAATAAATTTGATGAATAGTTCGTTACATTCTTCAAGTGTATACTTAAGAACGAATGAAGAAACTATTGATAGGTAACGCGTTTTTTCTATAATTTACCGCCTTTCAGTAGTAGATGTACGTCGTATTAATCATCTGGCAATCTATCAAACATTTCACAGAATCTCTGTGACGGCACGTATTTGAATCCATGCCAAAGGTAGAGGGCGCCTAAATAATATCCACTTCAATGAGCAGTGATGATAATATGATCCGCTACTTGTAAATACAATATAAGAAATAAAATTAATAATAATTATCAATAATAATTGATGCATTAAAGCTGAGGGGAAATTTGGATAACAGAGGAGACTGCATCATAGAATTGAAATTTTGCTAAAATTAAAAAATAGTGTTATCCGAAGAATATATTTTATATAAAATTATTCTTGATATTAAATTACAACCTCGGAACCTTTTGCTTGTAAAAGCTTTATGCTTCTCCACTCTCAATAGATTTAGGAGGTAATAGTAAACTTTGGAGTCATATTATTGTACCCGTGTCATGTAATCATTATTTTCTCATTTTTATTAAATAACTACTTGTTTCTGGAACTCGAAGCTTCTTATAACATGTGTATACCCCACTGGATGATTGCTGTCAAAATATAAAAGTTCCCATTAATATGTTTACATGTATCAAAAAATGTTTGAAAGATGTTGAGATATTTCGGACAGACACAGTCTCTGATGATATGTGATCGCGATGATGCTTATAGGCGTTTAATTTTTAATTATATCTGCGCCTTCCTCTATATCCAATGATGTATTCAAGCTTTGGTGGCTCTATTAAAAGAATTGACGGGGAACACCAGTGAACTTGAGGCAATAAAGTTTGTTGCTCATGCAGTATAAATTCCTATGATTATTTCTTTGTTGTATCTTTATCATAGAAGGGTTTTCATTATCATGTCTGAATCTGTGACCAAAATACTCAAGGTATGTTTCTCTGGAAGTGTTGAAATGAATCCACTTTGCTGAAATTGTGCTCACCTAGGGACAATAATAATGTCCTTTTTTTTTCGGAATGAGATTGGGTTTTCACCAATGAATATGTATAGTTATTTGTTTTACTAGGCAGCAAAGTAGAAGATTGACTGCCGCGGCGGATAGTTCATGGCCAAGAGGAAGCGAGGCTAGGAATGAAGCCAAGGCAGTCAATCTACATTTGCTGCCGCGTGAAAGATATATTTTTTTCTCCGAATATAAAACCAATTTTATATTATTTTTTTATTGACTATTTCACTCATCACATAATCTGACCAAAACATGAGCTGTTTTTCGATTCTGATTGGTCTAACAGTGTTCATGTTTTCAACAATGTAACCATGGATAGCAAATCAAAGTCTGGATGTAACCATGGATAGCGAAGTAAAGTCTACCAGTTTGGCATGCATGTAATAATTATGGTTGTATACTTGTCACAATGAATCACTCATTTATAATAAATGCTTTTTATGCTTCGTGAACGTGAAATATTCTAGCAAAATACCACTCTGAATATTTTCTCATAATTCTGTCTTTTTTTGTTAACTCAATTGTGTTGCCGGAAAGCAACACAATTTCGTGAACAATGAAGCGACAGAATTATCTCGAATATTCAGAACATCGTGATATTACCAATTTCATTCAGATTACTTGGAACGTTGCATAGCAACAAACTTTTCTAGGCAGAGAAAGTACACCTTTTCTACCTGTTTAGTTTCAGAGGGAAAAAACACTTCCTATTCCGCTTGGAGAAAAAAATATGTAACTACAAAATATATTCAATTTAATTCCATAGGTTTAAAGCACACTCACCTTATGGTTTGGGATTACTCCAAGTTATAGGTTGAGGCTTGTATGTTCATGTTATGGTGCTGAGAGTAATCTAAAACCATAGAAATCATAGATATGATTCAGAATATATTAAAATGAAAATATGTAATACATTTCTTTTACCAATATATGAATAAAAACATACAATTTTCCTATGGGCATAGAGAAAAATTCATACCTTATTTTGTTATTCCAATGTCACTATTTCAAATGCATACAGATAATAATTATTACGAACAAATGCGACGAAAATAAATAACGTGTAAAATTGAATATGGTATTGTTTTATCGTTTTGCATGGCGTCAAGTTGAATTACTTGAAAGGAAAAGGCATGTTGAAAATGCAACTTCAGTCGTAAATGAGATCTCCATCAATAAAATCCATTAGTCATTAGTAATAATACAAGGTAGGTATTCAAAAATCTAAGTAACTCAATATCCCTTATTTCAATAAAATCATAAATATTATTAATCAAAACTTGAAAAATCATAAATTTCAGAGTCATCAATAATATCGGTCAGAACTGTCTATCTATCGCGAGTCCTATTTCGAACGATCTGTATATTATATAGGTACTTATTTTATTTTGGAAAACTAAATAAAGGCTCATTCACATACCTACATATTTTTGTACGCGATCTCCAAACTTTCTCCACATTCTCTAACGGAGCAACTTTCGGTTTTTGTGGTTGAAAAACCCCCCCTCCACTCTCCTCAACCCCCTTGGCAAATCCAAATGTCAAATGGCAATTATTACCCGTCGATAATTGAACCGAAAAAGTTCACCGATATATTATTTGATGTGTCTTTTCGCGCAAATCTAATAAAACTAACCAAGCCAAACGCAGACGTTGACTTGGACGCAGCCGATATTTTAATTTTAGAATTCCCGAAACGATATAGGTAGAAATTGATGTGAGGAAGTTTGCCACATTTTCAGGTTGTTTTTCTTTATTATGATTGCTGGGTTATATCACTTACAGTTGCAGATATATTATTTATTATTTTCGAGAATTTTGTCATCAAATGTTAATAATAATGTTCAACTTATCAGTGTCTATATCTTTCTCTTTTGGCAATAGCATTTTGTATCTTCTGGAACGTGAATCTGGAACACCTTGTATTTCAAAATGCAGTGATCAGTGCCGTTCCATAGCATGCCCGCCTATGGTCGCGAACGGTACTTCGTTATATTACCGGTACTGTTACCGATCCACCTAGTATGATTATAATGGTGGATCCAGTTAGTGCGCATTTCACTAATATTGCACTAATCTTCATCAATTTCTTTCAACATCAATGATTGTCAGTAGGTATCATGTGTGTTTTATATATAGTGTAGACATACTAACGGGGAAAAATACTAATAATAGTGAAGAAAATTGGAATGAAGTTATTTGTCTTCTATAAAACTAATTGTTTTATTCACAGAGTGTAGTCAATCAATTGGTTCCTCTCAACGAAATTATTATCATCCGATATAGAAAGCTAAATTCACCGTTGAGTAAATATCATCAACATGAGCTAATATCTTTATATTCTCATTGTTTTCGTTTGTAACAGGTGTGATATAATCAACATGTTTGAACATTTTTATTTATCAATTCAATATGGAAAACGAGCTGTATTTTTTTTAAATCAGTTGCCAATGTAGCATTTTTTTGATTTTTTTGGTGTATAACACCATGGTTGAATATCATGAAAATTTCGACAGTTCTTCCTGTATAAGTAGGGAATTCCTATATTCTTATCACTTATTATCTGCATCATCGTTTTCTTATGGAAATGTATAGTGATACGTAAGGTAATACATATAATATGGAACAGGAAAAATTACCAGTTTTGAGAAGGAATATTATTATGTACATTTATTATGAACATTGAAAAATGGGAACATATAAAGAAATACATTCAAAATTTTTCCACACCCTGTATGATGAACACCAAATCATCGTACAACTGACAAAAAAATACCTGTTTTTCTTGGTGTAAAAAAATATTCAATGACATTGCTGAATGATCATTTCCATTTCAGGACCACTTTATGAAAAATTTTGTTTAGTTTCTTTACTTTTCACGGATGCTTTCATGTAAGTAATCCGTATGTGCATGGCTAATCTATATAAAATGAACATCGAAATGCATAATTACAGGAAGTGTGCCAGATAAACCTTTTTGTAGGTAGGTATCTACCTATATAGACACTCGCGGAACTGTATTTCCGTCAAAGTGTTTCGTGACCTTATTTAAATTTGATTCACTTCTCATACAATATGATATTGTTTCAGAATCGTCCTATTCGAGAATCACCCTATAGGATTCACATCAACGGCGATGGTTACAAGTTTAATTGTTCGCTGGTTTAGTAGGGCAGTGCATTGCCATGCTTTTTGAAGTATGAAATAAAATCATCTAAACACTTGTTTATGGACTATTACCTTGTATATTCAGTTCATTGGAACGAGTCATTATTGAAAATACGATTGAATACCAAGAAATTTGCGGATAATCAATTTTATACTATATTTTGGACAGTGTCCGAAATGCATTTAACATTATTGTTTGATCATTTATTACTTCATCACTTTCATGTTTGTCTCTAGATGGCAGTTTGATATCGCAAGTGGAACTCTCAGAAAAGTGATATATCTAGCAAAAACTGGAAAAACGAGCAGAGAAAGCCTTTCCACCAACCAGTCATGGGAATGAGTACGACGTGTTCTCCATTCGAAAAATGTAATTATTATATGACTCTAAACTAAACTATTCTCGTAATCAATGATTTTCACTTTTTCCATTTTATTGATTCGGTCTCAACAGATTTGTCGATGACCTCCTAATGGTATGAATCACTTCCATGTGTATCTTCCTCACTTGCAACACAACTTTCATCGATTCACATTGAATTCGCAGGATCCCAGGAAATAGTCATCAGGAAACTTTCGTGTGGCTCATTATTCACGTTATTCGATGAACTTTCTGGTAAAGCATTGTATTCAAATGAATAATTGTTCGCAATCTTTCCTTCGATTCTATACAGGGTGATTCATTGAGAAATGCGCATACCCTGAGGGTCTATATCATTCTTTATAACCAAGATACGGGGTGATCTATTGATTTTCCCTATTTTTTCAATTAATCATAACTTATGAACCAACCTTTAAATTTTTTTGATATTTGGTTTGTATGTTCTTTGTCCACAGTGATGACGATTGACATAATGAAAAAAGTTTTATTCCAGGGCCGGCCTTGAAAAAAATAATAAGTAAGTTTCGAGTAGAAACAACAACCTGTATATCAATATTTAAAAATCTTATTTACAAATTTGGAAAGAGCAGAAAAATTGAGTACAACTGGAAGTATTTGGTGTTTCCGCATACGACTTTTTCATGTATTAACTTGGGACAAATCTACAGGTTTCAATAATGAGGTGATATAAAATTAATAAAATAAGAAAACAACTACTTTCTGTTAAATAAACCGAGAAAGAATTGATATTTCCATATCAGAGAATGCGAATTCTCAATGTATTTCTTAATATACAGTGTGACCCACTTCTAATGGAAACACCCTGTATCTTACGTAATCGTTGGGTAAGGATCCTGAAATTCGCTGGAGCGAGAGATATACCAAAAATGCACTCTATATGACCAAGTGGGGTCATCTTCAGTGATATACACTGCTCGCCAACAGCCATGGAACTACCCCAATTTCCGGAAAATGATATTAGGAGTCAAAATAGGTCGAAAATCACTTCAGATTCGGAATCATATTCATATTTTTCCTAGAAAATTTTCAGTTCTGAAAAATTGAATTTTGTCGCACTTTTCACGGAAGCGCCCTCGTATCTTACGTAATTGACTTTATCTTTGGACTTTCCCTTCCCCCTGCGAATTTCAGAACCCTACCTCAATAATTACGGGATATACGGAGTACTTCCATGAGGAGTGAGACAAAATATAATTTTTCTGAACGGAAAATTTACTAGGAAAAGTATGAATAGTTAGGGTCCTGATTCCGAATCCAAAGTGGTTTTCAACCTATTTTGACTTCTAATATCATTTTCCGGAAATTGGGGTGGTTCTATGGCTGTTGGCGAGCAGCGTTATATCACTGAAGATTAATTCACTTGGTCATAGAGTGCATTTTTGGTATATTTCTCGCTCCAGCAAATTTCAGGATCCTTACTCATCGATTACATAAGATACAGGGGTGTTTCCATTAGAAGTGGATCACACTGTATATATCCATTTTTTTATGTTCATAATTGTATCTGAGAAAATTCATTTTCAATACTTTCATCCAATCAAGGAGTTCAAACTTGAACGATGGAAACTTATTATTTTTATAGAGCTTTAATCGCAGATTCGTGATAAAGTTTTCTTAATTCAGAATTTATTTCTAAGTAAATATCAATTGTCATACAACCAAAAACGTTGAAAAATGTTCATAAATTCTGAGAAATTTCATTTTTATTCTTCAACTTTACGACCTTGTATTTCGTAAACGGGGCAATTTCAGGTAAGTTGCCTTGAATGGGCTCATTTTGACCTCAGGAATATGTGCTGAGATTTTGTACAGACCTTCAGGGACACCTTGTATAATTCATACATCTAGATACTTATGACGCAAGTCTTCGGAAAGAACCACCCGAGAGAGCGGAAGAAGTCTTGCAGGGAAAATCCGGAAAGTAGAGTACCTACCTACGTCGTCGAAGAAGTGAAGAAGAGGAAGCAAAAAGCCGGCTCTAGCAAAGAGTTTTCATTCTCGACGAGGCATTCGTTTGGTTCGGTGGAGGTCATCGCATTTCTTCGTGCCGCGGCGTCGAAGATACCGAAGAAAAACCGAGGCAGGAAAGAAATACGGACGTGACGGAGAGAGTGCGAGCGATACCAGCTGACAATCGGAAGATACGGTACAAACGGGATGAGATTTTCGCGGAATCGAATCGATCTTCGATCAAGGATGCTCTAAGGATTACCTTCTGCTAGAGTTGTGTGTCGCTCTTCTCCTTGAAGATCAGTTTTTGTGTGCCAGTGGATGAGATTTTGGTGAGTTTTGATCAGCCGTGAAAAATAGTTATTTCATACAAGGGATAAAAATATGAGATGTTAACTCGAGATTGTGTTGTCTCCCGATGCGTACACTATTTTTTTCTGTGGCAGGAAAAAGTACGGATCATATTAAGAAGATATTACATTATATTGAAATCAGATTATTGTCGACGTGAAATTTGAAGTTGTTAACTGTTAACAAGGCATCTTTTGGCATTTTTACCATTCTTTTGAAGTAATCAATATCTGTAAGTATGTTTCTGTGATTTGCTTTTGAAAAATTGCGAACTCAGTGGATGTTTAGTAATTTACCTAACCGCCAAGTGGAATGGAAGATAAATGGACTTGCAGGTTTTTCTTGGAGACGGTGTTATTGGCCTATTTTTGGAACTAGCAACAAAAGCCATCAACAGTATAATATATACCGATTGACACAGGGTATCGGGCAACCCCTGTTACTTTTGCATTCGTGAACGAATTTTTCTAAAATTTGGGATAGTCACATAAGCTACCATTTCGTATTCGATCATATTACAATCCAATATATAGGGCGGACTTCCGGTATTTCTGGAAATGCCAGCAACTTTTTTTTTAATGGAACACCCTGTATATTTTTACATATTCAAGTTCAACGGATCAAAACAAGTGCTTTCTCTATGTCAAATGTCATTTTTTCGAAAAAACTTGAAATTGAAATTGTTTTTTATTTTACCTCGTGGATAAATGAGATGTGGTCAAGACTATTCACAATGAGTCGCACAAAACAGGGGAACATATTTTTCTCGGAAATATTTTTGTATTTCGGTGCAGTAACACATTGTATACATTCAAAAATCAACAAATGGTTCATGAGTTTCCTTGCAGATCAAATAATTTCAATTTACTCGAAAAAACTACATTCTACATTAAGATTGCACATGTTTTGACCAGTTGAACTTGAATATGTGAAAATATACATGGTGTTCCATTTGAAAAAACGGAGGTACGCCATATTGGATTGTGATGTGATCAAATCCGAAACGGTTGCTTATATAACTGTACCAAATTTCAGAAAAATCCGTTTACGAATGCACAAGTTACAGGGGTGGCCCGATACCCTGTGTCACCCGGTATATCCTGGAAAAAAGTACTCACTTTTTTCATGAGGGAAAAAAGTAATTTATGACAAGTGACATTTTATAACCTGTTAACAAAGATGAAATGTGAAACATTTTTCCCGTCACAGAAAAAATGAATTTACATATTATTTTCCAAAATAAGATGACATATTGATGGTATAAAGTATACTGAAACTTTACAAACTTCAAAAATTTACGGAAGAACTTTTAACTCCGAATTCACATTCTTCCCACACGTTTTTTTGTTGGTTAAATCGTATATTTATGGTACAGGCACATCCTCTGGTACATCTGAAACACAATTATTGATAATGAAAAATAACTGATTGTTCAATCAATGAAACTCATTACTGATTGTTGTCTCGTTCAAATTTTCAACGGGAATGAGTAGCTTGAATTGGCGCATTTTGAACCATATTTTAGCATACATGCCCGTGTTAATGTTGAACGAAAATAATTATATATTCAAAAATATATGTGGAACCTTTTTGTTTAAAAAATTTCTACTGTTATTGTAGAAGCTGAATCATTTAGGTGTAAAATACAAAATACCCTGTAGTTGACCACGGATGAAAAAGATTATGAAAGATATATGAAATGGTCAAACCCTGCGTAAGTATTTCCAACGTAATTCGAGTTCAATCATTAGGCAGATAAGTAGGTGAATCAATTCAATTTGATGGTAAAAAAGTGCGAAAGATTATTTGAATTCGTGAGTAATCATCAGTAAGTCGATACTGACACACATTTCTAATCATAACTGTTCAAGAAAAACTTGAATACAGTGCGAGAACAGGACGTAATCATGCAAATCACTGAATAATAAAAATTAATAAGTAGCTACTGTATTCTTTGGCGTGAAGTGTATAGATATAGGTACGCATGTAATTTTTACAGTAAAACTATAATATATGGCATCCTCATAAAAACATTCATACTTTTATATCACTATCCTAAAACCCATAATAATTATCCCAGATTTTGTCAGATATAATTTTATTTTTACTTATTTGAAGGAATTTCTCTTGTTTATTTTGTGCTCATCTTGCATCGGCATCCTGATCACATTTAATTAGCATTAATTTCTGGGTTACCCTGTATGCGGAAACAAAGACCCAGAAAGCCGAGGCGTAGGCGTGAATAATAACGGAGAATCCGAAGACGTCGGTGCTCTCTATAAAAGAAGATATATAAGAGTCAAGGTCAAAAATGTTGTGTCCTTGCCTTTCTTAACTTAGTCTATTGACCCACTTTAGTATCAATAGGTAGGTAGATATTTATTTATTCAGGAAAAAGACTGAGCAGAGTTGCAGGAGAAAGGTCTTGCCTAGAATTGAATACCTATAGGTGATTATCGTAATTGAAATTGTTGTTCGATTCATTGGGACATTTTGTGAAAATGACTGAGATTCCCAATCACTATTAATTGATATTCACATAGAAATTATCTTTATCGAATTTCAATATTAGAGGTAAAACATTGAAAAACTGGTTTATGCATGTATAAGACATTATCGCACTTTTCTCAACCATCTCAGAATCGTCAAAAAAATTTCATGAGACACGTCCGACACGAGAAGGTCATAGAAAATTTTCGAAAAATCATTGATATCTACTGAAAATTGAATCGGTTACATAAAATAAGAGATGGCTCTTGAAAATCTGTTACTGACCACTGCCAGCTTATTATAAGTTCGACTTAAGACTGGGCGCGACCGATTCACTTGTTTTGGTAAGTGGTACCGCTATGAAGAAGCGTGGTAGGTACTCGCTAGCCGAGTCTTTGGAATGCAGTCAAATTTGTTAATATGGGTCAGTAGAGTCGTCCGTATAATCGAAACGTATTTACGTAGGTATACTTAGAAAAGACGAAAAAAAAAGAAACTTTCCCACGAACCCATTTTTTTTTTTAGTTTTACTCGTTTTCTTTCGATAAGACTGTATGTTTTACCGCTATAGCCGCATCGAGAACAAAAATTGTGTTCATTAACTTTTATGTGTTTATGCAGCCAAGTTAATAATGAAAAATGATTGAAAGAATTATTTACCAATGATATGAGAATGAGAATACTGAAAGCATCTCCGTAAACATTTTTTCTCAGTTTCTCATCATGGACCTGAGATACGCTCTAGTTATGCTGTTGAAAATCCTCATTTCGACGTCGACACTGCCCGTATTGTACAGAGCGTCAGGCGTTCAAGGGGCAGCCCTTTTGGGAGACCCCACAATGAGCAGAAATTCAACCAACGACACACCAGACACCTACTACGATTACGAAATCGCCGATGACAGTCAGGAACTCGAACAGGTTAGTTAAACATAAATACATTGTGTCCACTTCAAGGTCTTTATGCCATCCTTGTATAATATGGTATATCTGATCGATTTTAAAAACCTTTTTTTTGTATTACTTGTGGTATTACATGTGAACATATTGATGGAGTCTGAATCCGGATCACTTGAAACATATCTGTACTGATTTATATCATCATAATAACAGAGGGTGTCCGAAAAAACAAATTATTAGATATTTGAATATGTGGGGAAGAACTAATGACAAATTATTATTTAGGAATAGGTTCTTCAAACATATCTGTACCGCTTTTTGTCTGTGTCTGAGAAAAATAATAAAAACGGCAATATGTATCAATTTGAATAAATAATAATTTGTATTTTCGGACACTCTGATGTGTTTAATGATGAGGAAAATCGGCGAAGCTATGTTTCAAAGGGTCCTGATTCAGAATCCATCATCATCTTTTGAGTAAAGAATTTTGATATGAAATATTGCTTGCTCTTTCATTCAGACACATTGTATTGAATGATAAAAATTGGTAAAGACATGTTTGCAGCAGTCCTGAATAATAATGTGTCATTAGATCCTTCCGAAAATACCACAGCAGTACATTTTCTGATCTCATATCATTAAAAAAAATAATGAATCGTTGTCTGGACATCCTGTGTGTTAGGATGATGAGAATCTGTGCAGATGTTTTTCAAGTGATCCTGATTCAGAATCCATCATTATTTCTCGTCAAAAAACCCTAATAATACTTTTTGAAATATGGGTCAATAAAAGGTCGCAGTTGGCCACGATAACAGACCATGAATAAAATCAATCACTTGTTGGATGGACATTTTGAACACCTAACCAACAAAAACAATTTTTTTCGAAATCGATCTGTGAATAACGATTTTACATGGGTGGTAAGTCCTTAATGTGGACACACTGTAAATTCAGAGAGGTCTTGATTTATCGCTATTTTCAGAGAAACGTGCCGACAAAAGCCAAAGAGGCATCTGAGGAAATTCCTGACCCGTCACCGCTGGTGGTATCCGGCTACAATCTGCCGGAGAACATTTTCAATCGCGGCAAACCGTTCTACGTGGAGAAAGACCCGCTGACCGGCCAAATAGATTTCGCCCAAAAATCTCCCACGCTGGACGATGATTTGTACGACTACGTGGACGAGGAACCGAGCAGGAACATCCACGATAAGTCGAATATCGACAGAAAAGACGGTGGACACCGTCACACCGACGTCAACCAATTGACGCCAAACTTTCACGATTTTCTGAATCTGCCTGTGAAGTACAACTCTGCCAAGTACGTGTACCCTTTGATATCCAACTCCTACGCCAGCACCAAGATCCAAGGCAGCGTCAACAAGTTCCACAACCACAAAGATTACAATTTCAAAACGTCCACGAAAAAACCGACGCCTCCGGCTTCTAGCCCTACTTATTATTCGGATAGCAACCAGTACTTTACCCAGCCACGAACCACGGTCACCACAACGACAACCACCACCACAGCAAAACCAACGACCAAGTCGCCTACCAAGGTATATTTCACTACCAAGCCCACCAACCTGTTGAACACCGGCATGGGACATCCTAGTTTCCAGGAGGAATTCGAGGATTACTACGATCTCCCAGCTGCTACCACCACGACAGTGAAAACTGTCCCCGAGAAGGTTTATTTGACCACCGAGAACGTAGATAAAATTTACCTCACGTCCAAAGCCCCAGAAACAACGTCCACCAAGAAAACCATGTCGCTCTTTGAGCAGTTGTTTGGGGAGTACGACGATACCGTGGCACCTCCTGTTACCACCAAGCAGCCATCTTTATTCTCCAACCTACCTGGCAACAAGTACAACAAAAACAAGTACCAAAAAACCGAGAAACCACAGTATCCCAGTACGACCACAACTACGACTACTACAACGGAAACACCGCAAGTCCACAATTCTCACGCCGGTCCGAACGTACTGACCGGTACTAATATGGGATTAGAACCGAATTACGAGTACGAGGATTACGGTAGCGAAAAGTACGAGGACAATGTGGCTGTGCAAAGCAAGCCGCAATTGATGGTCGACGAAGATTTGACTATCGAACCATTACCCGACTCATCCACCACTACCACCACCGAGAAAGTTGTCGAAGTGAAACAAAACATCACCGACTACTACGATTACCCCGAGGAAAAGGAAAATACCGCGACTAGCACCACCACTTCGACTACAACCACCGCCAAAACCACGACTTCTACCTTTCCTTCGGTCAAGGTGACCTCGCTACCTCTCGGCGACAACCACCTGACCACTCCCAGTCACGAACCATTCAACAGGGATCCCATCATTGTGGCTACTCAGAACCTGCGAGAGAAGCTCAATAGCGAAAAAGTGCTACCCAAACCGTTCGAAAAACCCTCGAATCCTCCTAGTGCTAGTAATATCCACATCGCTCACAATCAGGACACCGTGTCATTTGTCGTTGGGAACCAACAAAGCGTCGACGGTACTCAGTACGTCGGTACTTCGATCAAAGAGAATCCCTATGACATCAACAATTCGTTTAGACCGCAGATTTCGTACGGCAACGAGGATTCAGTTAGCTACAAGATCGAAGCCGAGCCGGAAGTGAGCTTCCAGCTGGCCGCTCCTCCTGAAGCTGTCGGCAGCGCTGTCACTATCCAACCTTTGAAAAACTCGGAAGCTTCCTTAGCCATAGGAGTGCCGGTGCAGGTGCCCGGTCACGTGGTAGACGACCACCTGAACAAAGCCGTGCAGTTCCCGCAGAGCGGTAGCAACAAAGTAGTGTTCCCGGACGAGAAGCAACCGGAATTTCCGGACTTGGTGCCTCCGCCCGTTCAGGCGAATAGAGAAGTGTTGCCTTTGAATTCGCAGCCGATGTACCATCAGCTACCGAGCGATCTGACTCCGCCTCGAGAACCGGAAACTGTGGCTTCTCCTAGACCGGAAAATAGACCGGCCAGACCGCCTTGGGATCCGCGACCAGGGCATTTTTATAGTGGCAAGCCCGAGTATAATAGGCCTCCGCGGCCCCCGGCGGACGTCGCCTACAAACGGATCGACAACTTGCCCAACATTTTGCCTCAGTTCCGGCCGAATATGAACAAACCTCCAGGCAGTTACTACGAGAAGAGGTTTGTATCAATTTGAAAAAGATAATAATTCGTATTTGTGTATTTAATGATGATTAAAAACGGTGAAGGTATGTTTAAAAGGGTCCTAATTCAGAATTCATCATTATTTGTTGAGTAAAGAATTATAATGATGAGAAATATTCACTACACACCACTAACAAAAACCAATTATCTTACGCCTCGACATGTGTTTCGCTAACTATATTAACATCTTCAGGAGGAGATTGAAACTAAACGTTCTATCCTAGTGTGCTACTTATATAAGACACTAACCGCCAAGTTGATGTTGGTCATGGTTGAGTTCACATGATAACCTTGGTCGCATATCACTAAACTATACAGAGGGCTGAATGGGATAGGTCTATTATCCTTATTCATTTTTCCATTACTATTCTTAAATATCTCTTAAGCTTTCATAAGCATCTAATTTCCTAACATTATTAACCTGTTAAGATAATTTGAGGTTATTAATATGTGTGTTATGATTGTGATTGAACATATGTGTTCCGCTGCACACGATTTATCTAACCTACCATATTTCAAATATGCTAAGTGTTCTTTGAACCTTATTTTTATAGGACGCCTGGTTTGGCCTATATATGTTTTATGACAATCATTACAACTTATTTCGTACATTCCTGACTTTTCGAGTGTGTCCACCTTATCTTTCATTTATTAGGTAAAGGAAAAAGCACTCTTCTTATTACATGTATGAATTTAAAAATCGATTCATCCCTCAAATGGTGAATGCTATCGAAACTATACAAGAGTACCATATTTGAATAAAAATGTCTAGACTTCCATATTTCTTGGTCAAACTGCCGAAAATTGCATGAACTAAAAAGTTGGAAAAACAGTGCCCCTGAAAAAAAATGCCCCTAGACCCACCCATTTTCCACGCCCCTGATAAAAATATCGGAAAATACTCTACATTTCCAAATCAGGCATGCCTACAAAAGTTAGGTACATGTACAAACTTTTGGTCATTTTATCACTGAGGGTTTCGAAAATATTCACATAAGACCATCATCTCTTTCAGATAGCTATATCTTCCAAGGGGGCCTTTTCTGGACCCATGTTTTTTACTATTTTTGTTTCTAGAATCTGTGGTTGAGATCTTGCTATGTAATTTCTAGACAACCATTATAAAGAAAGGTGCTTTTTCAATAACAATGTTCATTAACTGTCTTCTTCAAAATGTTTTATCGTCATGGAAAACTCGAAAACAAAATATAGATATATTTTATGTTATTTCAAGGTTCAATCGGCAGCCACTCTTAGACAGACCCTCCAACAGACCTATCGGCTTCTTCGAGAAAATGCAGCCACCCCCACCTCCACCACCACCGATTTACCGGCCGGCGATGAGAAATAACATCCCTCCAATGCACCACGACTCGAACGGTCCTCCTATGGCCGAAGACAGGATAACGAACGAAGCACCCAGAAGGCCAAACCCGGAATTCTCTTTTTATCGCACTCCCCCACAGCCAAAGATAGCCAACAGGAGGAACGGAAATGACGACGAAGAAGTGGTAGAAACGCTGCAGATGATCCAAGCCAAGAACTCCGACAAAAAAGACGAACCACCGGCATCTGTCACGCAAGTAGTAAACATTCTAGCGGCGAACGAGGGATTCAGTGTCAACACGGAGAAAACAATCTACAAGGTGTACCCGGTGAACACGCCGCCGATCAAACTAGACGTGATCGATACCAACGAGAAAGACACCGTGGTGATCGGCACGAGAGCGGAACCTCCTTTACCGCCCTCGAAAATCCACCCCCAGGACTTCGTGTTCGATCCCAAAGAGCGTCACGACGCTCCCATCTTGAAACCGCACCCGAGGCCGAGCTACGCCACGAAAACGGACTTCCCGTACCACTTGGAACGGCCGAACTCCAAGTCCGAGGACGAGCCGGATCACTTCTTCAACAACCAGTGGAACGGCGTCGGCGAACAGGCGGAGTCTCGAATTGTCACAGGTCACGTGCCCAATCAGATATCGGCCACGCTGAAGACGTACACCGAGAAGCCGATAGCAGTCGCTTACACCCCTACTGAGCCTAATCTAGACGCTGACAAGTACTCGATGCCGAACTACGGCAGTCCGGTGATTCCCGAGATCCAAGGTAATTGATACTGAATTCTAATTTATCAACTACCATTGATATTGCTTTTTCCTTCATAATTAAAGTATGCATTTCACCATTTCGCAATTTTTAAATCATATCACAATGAAATTGACAGATATTTGATTACTTCAAAAGCTCTAATTGTCACTATAAGTATAAAAACCTACCAGATGAAAACTTCAAATTTCACATCGATAATTTTCAGATTCTAATATACTGTAATATTTTTTCAATATCAAATTGTCGTTTTTATCGTTACAGAAAAAAATATACACGGGAAAAATATTAGATCTTAGTCCTCGGCGGTTATTTGCCTCCCTCCGCTTCGGGATAGAACAGAACCTCTAACGAAAATCTATTACTTTTTTCCCTTGTTATTATACAACTATTTTCTCGATCGTGTCTCTCCAGTAACATGTATATTTTTTGGGATCAATAAATGTCATTGTTAGCAAGGAACTAAAAATCACCCTGTAAATGAATGGAACGCCCATAGGAATGCCATATCACGCCATACCACAAGCTGGCGAGGACAATTTGATATTGAAAAAATATTACAATAAGAATCAGATAATAATTATCGATGTGAAATTTTAAGTTTTCAACTGGTCGATTTTTTTCAATGATTTTGGAAAAATACCTGCTACTAAACATGAATTGAAAATATGTACTAGAACATTTGACGTATATTTCACAATAATCTTCAATGATTTTGTATTGATTCTGTCTGGGCCAGGGGCAGAATCATTTTTCAATTCATTTGTAAATTAATTATTTCATTTTCTGTAACAGGTGACCAGAATTTATTATTTGGTTCCGTCGATATTTTTAGCCAACTCAGGTCCTATGTCACAAAAATGATTATTCAGTAGATTTGGTATTTCTTGATCATCTGTAATACATTTATTATTTTCAAATGATTTAAATACTTTTTTGTTTCATTTTTTGACCTGTCAATTCATTCACTACTTTCCGAATCTTCCCAATGTCTCCATCAGCTTCCTTGATTTTATCTTGATAATAGTTTTCTTTTGCAAAATTACTATCTGGGGGTTTTCGGGATCGAAGATTATGATTCTTTCGTGAAAATTTGGAAATTCGGACGGGATTTGGAAATTCTAGATGACGGAACCAATATGGGGGACGAGTTTCGTAATAGAATCGCTCATTTGAAAAACCCAATAAGTCCCAAACGGTTTTGAGAAAACAGAAAAAACCGTATATTATTATGTTCCTCAATTCTGATAACTGGTTTTTATGATTCTACAGTGCTATTCCTCCATCATTTCAAGATACTCATCAAGGTCTTGAATTTCATAAACGTTCTTCTTTGTACAAGCTATCCTAACCGCATAAATGAGTTCAAGTGTTGAAAATGTGATTCCACGATTCGTGGAATCATAATCTAACATTATCATCATTATAAAGGTCACCGAGTGCCGTTGGGCGGCCCAGAAATCGCTCACCGAGTCGACGAATCCTCCCCTTTCCCCTCCGACCTGCCCGCCTATCCGCAGCTGGACTTTCAGGCGCCCTTCTTGGCCAGCGACCACGTGGACGCGACCTTGAACAAGGGCTGGGCGGTGGTGCGAGAGACGAAGAACAGGACGACGGATCAGACGGAGGGCACGACGATGCCGTACGCGACCACGGGGGAGTTCGATATGGAGCACTTTCAGCCGCAGCTGGAGGGCGGGTTCAAGCCCATCTACAGTTTTCCCGAGGGGGATGATAAGCCGGCTGGTGTGGAGGTCGGCGAGCGAGAGGAGCGATAAGTGGGATAGAGGTACTATGTTGCTAAATTCACTGAAAGGAAATGGGATGATGATATGATGATCCGGCTCGAAGGACCATGTAGGATTTTTCCTACAGGAATATGAGGCTGGGTGCTTAATTCACCTGTTGAACAATCTCTAGGTGAATAGGTGGATCAATGTTTTGAGATTATTTCAGAGGTTAGATCTGTGTTTTGGTTTTTATGATTTCTAAATCAACTGAATAACTTGTTTGTATCCTTGATTCGAGTTACTGTTTACTAGCAGCAGAAATAGAGTAAGTCAAAAGTACAAAACATCAGTTGATATTCAACTTGATCTACCAATCTAAATGAAAAATTGAAACTAACCTCAAAAATATGTGTCTCACCCAGTGCAATTTGCTTTTTCTCTTGCTATAATTTCAGTCAAACATGGATTAACCATCAGCCTATCAACCGCATCCTATATGGTATAGATTCACCATACTGGTGAAATTAGCAACATAGTGGTAATGTGAAATATATGAAAATTTATTTAGACATGATGGGCTCAGAGTTGTGTGACTGATAAGATATGGTCACTTTCAGTGGCCTTTGATAGGATCGAGATCACAAAGTGGAATTATTGAAGACATGTATTCAGGCGTTTGAAACATAGAAAAGTGTTCCTTATACAGACTTTCATATTCATATTATGCTGTGAATCTGAATTCGTCAAATTGAATGAAAAGAAAATGTATTCATTTTCAAAAAAGCATTTTGAACCTTTTGATGTTGAGATTTCCGACCACTGAAGAAGTGATTGTCAGTAGTAAATATATAGGTGATAGAAGGGGATGATTTCGGTGGCGTTTTAACTTATTGATGAGTAAAAATGCTACTAAAAGCTTTCAATACGATTCTGAGGTAGACATTTGGAGGCAGAGCGTTGGATTTCAGAATTGTATTGATAAATAAAATTTTTAGTTGTTAACGGAAAACTATTTTAGATTACTCCTAGTTGTTTATTAATTTATTGATATTTATAGATTTTATTGAAATATATTTTATTTTTGTAGATGTTTAAGAAGAAACAATGTTTTATCTTCCTGCACCTTCTGCAAGCTGTTGCACACCCTCTAACCAATGTCCCGACCTTGATATCCCAAACAAGCCCTCATTAATTCCTGTGGATAGAGGAACTGTTCAAATCCTGATGATCTGGAAGCAGGTAGGCAGGTAGGTTAGGAATTTAAAAAATATGTATACAATCGTTCCAATGATTTATTCATAGTATTGTCAGTAAAGCATATCATATGTGATCTCAAAAAGCTAACTAGTATTAGCAGTAGTCATTTCTCGATAATAGTGGCAGTTGAAATTCTCAAAAGAGCAAAGGCAAATTTCTCATTTCAATTCACGTGAAATCTGCGATATTTTGTGAACTCAAAAAGTTCACGCCTGCTAGACAATACAAATTCAAAAAAATATAAACATCAAGGATATCCTCAAACATTCTTTTCACCTTTGTAATTTTTTTATGCATTTTATTTTAATGTAGTCAATGCGCGAAGGGAAAGAGGATCTTGAGAATATCTTAGTATCACATTGAACACACAGTGTATAATTGAGAAAAAATAAAATTATTCTAATGGAATGACAGTATTCCAGTTTATACAATATTATAAAATGCATAGTGCTGATTAGTTGAGACTGAACAAATATTCATGAAATGACTATTTGATTCAAAGTTTTTTTATGTATTCGTTTCTAATACTTTAATCAAACTGCCTACTAACATTTAACATTCAATCATTGACAAAAAATCGCAATTCTATACATAAACATTTTGAGCTTTCAAATAGCCAATAACTTCAGAGTAAATATATATATTTGTAAAATATTTAACTGTGTAAACTTCGCATATCATCAATACTTAGAAAGTATATAGTTTGATATAATATTTAAAAATACAATACTGTTAAAACAAATTATTTCATAAATCATTCAGGCTGTGGTGAATATTCTGAACATTTCATTTATCAAAAACAATGTGCCAAGAATATCATAACGAACTTTATTACTGACCATCAATATGATGCAATTTAGTTCAGAAAACCGGACTGCAATCTCAGTTTTATTTTTCGAATAGCTTCACAGGGTTCTGAAAATAATCTCAACAAAGTAGGCGAAATCAACAAATGATTTTGCAGAGAGCAACGTTCAAAATATCCTAATAGTTGCTGAATAAATGCAAATCTAACTTGACAGTTACTTCTCCGGACTCCACCTGATGCAAAATCAATTTTTTCGTAATTGGTCCATTGTGATTTTGCGATTCGTTCAGAATATCCTTCATTTTCAATTCAGCTCTTCCTAAAAATTCTACAACAAACCGTATGTCAAGAAATATGAAAGAGAACACATTTTTGAAAGTATTTTTCTTAAAATTTCTGTCATTTCAAGACTTACCATCTGGACTGAACGAGTTTCGTTCGAAAACTGTAAAGGAAAGTACCTCCTGGTTGATATTCCTCAACTGGAACTGCATGCTATAATTCCAAACAAGACTGGGGATTTGGGGTATGCCGTTCTGCGCCGAATTGCCATTGGGGAACGTCTCTCTGGCAATGTCGGTCTCCTGCTCTTGCGTACCCAACATCACTTTGCAGTAGATGTTTTCGCTATGAGATTTTCCTAAATCAAATAATTGAAAAAAATTAAACACTAAACATAACATGACTAAATTTTTTTTGTTCATAGATTCATTAATCTCAAGAGTTAAGATTGGTGTCTATAATTCGAATCGAATCGAATTGAAAAATAGTCATTAGTAGTGTACCTACGTATGCCTCAGCTCAAGATGGCCGCCGCCGGAAGTGACGTCACAACCGTTCCTGTGGTGAAAGGTGTTGGCTGCACGGAAGTGACGTCACAAGATGGCCGCCGGAAGTGACAGATGACAAGTGACAGATGACAAGTGACAGATGACGAGTGACAGATGACAAGTGACAGATGACAAGTGACAGATGACAAGTGACAGATGGCAGATGACAAGTGGCATGGAACACAAGCAGTGGCAGATGGCATGGACCACAAAGAGTGACAGGTGACAGACGACGAGTGACAGATGACAGACAAGTGACAGATGACAGACAAGTGACAGATGACAAGTGACAGATGACATGGAACACAAGGAATGACACGTGGAAGTACTCTGAACTTAGCCCCCTAGACTCTAGAGCTTATGGGCGTGGCCATTCTTCTTCTTCTTTTTGAAAGGTGGTTGATGACGTCACAATCCAGTGACTGTGCTCACCAGATTCAGGTTGGTATTACTACAATTGGTAGCACTTTGTTTCAAGGTCACCCGATATGCATGTTGCAGATGGCCGATGAGTCATCCTTAGAGTCATCCTTATCTCGACTTCGTAGATCAATGCCGCCTTTGTTTGCCATTTATGTTATCTAGCCTTCCTCTAGAACAATGCCGCCTTTGTTCTCTCGACGCCACTGTCAGCGTTTCTGGGAATTTCGTCGAGTCAGCTATTGGGAAATTGCGACGCAATATTATACGAGAACAATGCCGCCTTTGTTTGCAGGTGTCCGATTACGTAACAACCTCATCCGATTGCATCATCCTTATCTGTGAGAGAACAATGGGTCCATTGTTCTGACGCAGGTGGCCGATGAGTCATCCAATAATGCTAGCTGGGAGACATCCTGAAACAATACCTCTATCTACTTTCTGTCACCACTGACTGTCAGCGTTTCTTGGAATTTCGTCGAGTCAGCTATTGGGAAATTTGCCTCAAGAACAATACCTCCGTTGTTTGCAGGTGGTCGATGACGTCACAACCTCAAGCCCTATATAAGGCGGTCAGAACGTTCGTAGACGTCATTCCATTCTGAACTTTGACACTGGTCGGTCGACCTGTTCCTTTCTGTTCGGTTGCTCCTGTCTGTTCGGTTGCTCTTGTCTGTTATATTATATTGTGCGTGGGTTGTGCCAGCTGATCATAAAAGGTGAGTTCTTTATTTATTACGTTTCAAGGCCATGTGGGCGACCCTATTTGTGACTAGTGATCATTCCACTCAATACTAGCAGTGTTAGAATATTTTAATTCTCATCAGATGGATGTTTCAGCTATTAACGCTCAAGCTGCTGCCTTCAAACCAACTGTAGCACTAAGTAGCTTGCCCATCAACCAGCCCCACCCCATTGAAAATATCAGGGTGGTCCAGACACGGTTTGGGGAGGCTATTGTGGTCGAACTAGAGGCATCTAGCGTTTTTCTGCCAAGGAGGGTAGTTGGCATCTTCAAGCCTCAGCTTCCGGCGTTCACCCCAGGCAAATACAGCCTGATTCACAAGAGGAGTGACACCGGACCTGCAGTCCTCTTTGAGATTACTGAAAATTAGGGGTAAGTAAAATATTATTTTCCGTTTGATATTTCTCGCAACATGAATGTCAATAGTATTGCTTCTACTAGTGATGCCGTTGTTGAGGAATGTAGAAGGAAAGTGGAAATTTTGAGAAAGAAGATGAACATATCTGCAGAAGAAAGACTGTTATGGAATAGGCAAATAGGGACGCATATAAGAGAATTAAATAGGGCAATCAGGGGGACCAATTCGACAGCAGGGGTTTTGAGAAAATTAGAAACAAATGTGGGGCATTTGAAACGTTTTCAAAGTTTGATTGGGAAGAAGAATCATATTGGGGCGGGACTTGGCAATCGTAAAAATAGAGTTACATGGAGACTTGTTCAATCTGTTTTTGAGAGTAGAGTGAGGACGGCTGTTATAATCAATTTGAGTCATAAGGAGTTGATGCAATTTTTGCAGGACGCATCGCATATTTTCAAAATTCAAATTAAAAAAATATTGAGGGAATTAACCATGCTCAAAGTCAACACCACCTTCTGTGGTGAGTTTATCAAGAAATCGGATGACGCGGAGATTATTGAATTCAAATATTTCAATACAAAGAATGCTCCAATGGATGAGGGAACGGATTTAGATTGTTGGTTCACGGAAAATGTGAGTGATACCATAGTGAATAAACTTTCGGAATTCCAGGAGAAGGGTAGTGGCTGGGCCCTGAGAGAAATTGTTTCGTTGGAAGTAAATATCAATAAATTAGAAATTGGCAATGGTTCATCATTCATTGCACTACCTGACCAAATATCCAAGAAGCGTGCCTGCATCAATGTGAAGAACACTGATGAGGCATGCTTCTTCTGGAGTATCGTGAGCGCTCTTCACCCTGCTAACCGTAATGTAGACAGGCCCAGCTCGTATCCTCATTACAGCCAAGTTCTGAATACCGCAGGCTTGGATGTACCCATCACTCTCAACAATATCCCTAAATTTGAAAATCTCAATGATATATCGGTGAACGTTTACGCCTTGGAACTGATTCATGTTAGAAAGACAGAGTATTTTGAAGTAGTACCCATAAAACTCACGAAACATAAGCAGCCCAGACATGTCAATCTACTTCTCATTCAAAGTGAATATTTCCCCAAGCCCAACGATCATGATGTCTTGCCTGAAGATGATTACGACGAAGACCTCAGGTATCATTATTGTTGGATTAAAGACATGTCCAGGCTTCTATCTTCACAACTCAATAAACATACATCGAAAAAACATTTCTGTGATAGATGTCTAAATTATTTTTCGAGCGAATCCAAATTGGCAGATCACAGTGTTGTATGCGAAAATGTCAACGAATGCAAAATTTCATTCCCCAAATACGATTCAGTTGTTTTCAAAAATCATATATATAAGCAAAAGGCCGAATTCATCATCTACGGTGATTTTGAATCGGTTTTGGAGCACTGTGATGATAAAATTTCTCAAAAAATGTCGAAATATCAAAAACATACAGCCTTCAGCGCAGGGTACTATTTCAAATGCTCATATGATGATAGCTTGTCCTATTACAAGAGTCATCGAGGTCCTGATTGCATGGATTGGTTTGCCACAGAAATGGCAGATGTCGCGAAATTTGTACAGTCTAAAATCAAAGACATTATTCCTCTGACTCATTTCCCAGATAAGGTTGGTGTAACACACTGCCATATCTGTGAAAAGGCGTTTGCGGGCACTGATATCATCGTAAAAGACCACCATCATTTCACTGGTGCCTTCAGGGGGTGGGCACATCAATCTTGTAATTTGGGGTACCGCAAGTCCTTCGTAGTGCCCATAGTGTTCCACAATTTTTCTGGATATGATTCTCATTTCCTTCTGAGAGAGATTGCCAAACGTGGACAGGTGAGCGTACTTCCGATAAATATGGGGAAATACATTTCCTTCACCCAACACAACTCTGAAACCGGTATTAAATTCAGATTCATCGACTCTTTGAGATTCCTGGGTGCCAGTTTAGACGAATTGGCATCCAATTTAACGAAGGATAGCTTTCAAAATTTAAGAAAAGAATTCAACCAATTAGACGCATTTAAATTCGATCTACTCACAAAGAAAGGTGTTTTCCCATATGACCACATCAATAGTCCGAGCAAATTAGACGAAACTGAACTTCCACCCATTGAGAACTTTTATAATAAATTGAACGATGAACATATCGATGATGTGAAGTACGCTCATGCTCAAAACGTATGGCAACAATTTGAATGTCAAAATTTAGGTGAATACTCGGATTTATACATGAAAACAGATATCCTTCTTCTGGCAGATGTTTTCGAACAATTCAGAGAAGCTGCTTTGAGGACGTATACCTTAGATCCGGCTTGGTATTACACCCTTCCAGGTTATACGTGGGATTGCATGCTGAAGTACACAAAATGTTCCTTACAAATTTTAAAAGATGTTGACATGCTGATGTTTGTCGAAAAGGCAATAAGAGGTGGTATTTCGGTTTGTTGTAACCGCTATTCTGAAGCCAACCATAAGTACACTTCAACATACGATCCTACGAAACCACCAAAGCATCTTCTCTACTTGGACGTTAACAATCTATATGGATGGGCAATGTCAAAGCCCCTCCCTTATGGAGGGTTTGAATGGACTGATGCCAATATTGACGTCACATTGATTCCCGACGATGCGCCAGAAGGATATATCTTACAAGTAGATTTGGAATATCCGGAAAACTTGCACGATCTACATAAAGACTTTCCGTTTTGTGCCGAACACCGCAAGCCACCTGGTTCCAAGTTGGCAAAATTGATGACCACGTTACACCATAAAAAGGAATACATCATCCATTATGTTAATTTGAAACAAGCTCTGGCAAATGGCTTGAAGCTCACCAAAATTCACAGAGTAGCGAAATTTAAACAGTCTACGTGGTTGAAGCCCTACATTGATCTGAATACTGGATTGAGGGCTGCAGCCACCAACACATTCGAAAAAAATTTGTATAAACTGATGAATAATGCCGTGTTTGGAAAGACGATGGAAAACATTCGTAAACATCGCGTCGTCAAATTATGTAGATCATGGAATGGACGCTATGGGGCTAAAAATATGATCGCCAGTTCAAAGTTTCGTGGCCGGACGATTTTGGGCGACGATCTGATTGCTATCGAATTGGCTAAATCTGAAATAGTCTTCAACAAACCCCTATACATAGGGATGGCTATTTTGGATTTATCCAAGACGTGCATGTATAATTTCCATTACGATTTCATGCTTCCAACAATGGGGGTGGAGAAATGTAA